CCTCAAAACAGAGCATTCAAATGAATTCGCTTAGCCAATAACTTCTGTGAAGTTGCCTTTTCTAATGGTGTTATTACTCAGTGATGCACAAATGTGATATTGCCCCTACTGGTAGGCAAACAGGGGATCTGTATAAACATGGTAAACTGCTGTTTTTCTTTAAAGGAGAGCCAAAGACTTGTGCTTTACACTTTTTTTCCCCTGGTGTAGCCATTTTGATTGTCAGACATTTGTGTAGGGTATTGTGAGTTGACTGTATTATCCTAATAACAATTTCCAGAAGTTAATGATTGTCAAGCCTTGCCCATGCATTGAATTGTGGAAAATCATTCCATTTAGTCATACAATTTGCAATGTACTGAGATATATCTGAGGTGTTGTGATGTGTTTTCAGTCTCTCATGCACTCTCTCAGCTGACTGAATGGCTCATTTAGAGAGGGAGAAGGAAGAAAGAAATGTTATAATCCAAGAAGCCTTGTTTTTAAGTGTTTCTAAATTGAATACTGATTGAAAATTTCTTCAGTTACAGTAAAAGATAAATCTGTGTTACAAATGTGACTGACTTTTAAGTCCACTGGGATGGAAAAGATTTGTGAAACACTAGCATTGCATTAAATTAGATGTGGAAGAACCAAACTTGTGATGATATTGTCTCTTGACAGCATGGACTGAGTAAGGTGGGGCAAATTTTCTATTGGAAAGGGTCAGAAGTGAGGCTTTTATTGATAATACAAGAAAGCTGCTGGCATTTCCCTTCCTTGAGCTACTCAAACTCTCAAGACTTGTTACTAAAGTTTTTAGGTTCAAAGAGGAATCTCTTCAAGTCCAAGTAGCATAAACCTTCATTTCCACTGCCATTTATAATTTTGGACTATAACAAAGCAGACTTACAAGATAGTTATCTGAAAGACCCCCAGTATAAAGTTTCTTTCCTGGACTGGCTCTTTCAGACTTGCTTTTATGGTCCAAGAAATGCCTTGCCAGTGTTCAGGAGGCTCAACAGCAGGGAGTGCCAGCCACCCTCTCTGCTCAAAAATGGGAGAAAAGACCCAAACATACACAGTGTGCAAGCTCTTGTGTTTGTCTCTGTGTGTATGGAGAAGTGGTTTTGGTCCTAGGACAGATAGAACACAGAGCAATGCTGCTGGGGCATGATGTTACCTTCATATGCAAATTTTGTCATCATTCACTTTCCAAAACACAGCCTTCCATTCCTGCCTCCTGATGTTGCTGATTTAAAAAGAACCACAAGAAGTTAGCCTGTCAGCAACTTAATTTCTTCACAATAAATCAATTCCCCAAGGGAAAAAGAAAGCAAGAATTTTTGAGTTGCCTGCATGGTAATGGAGTTATGAACTGGAAAAACATCCACCTTGCTTGAGTAAGTGTAAACTGAATTTCTGAGGAAAATGAAGCAGCTTTTCTAAGCCCATCCTGTAAAGCTATGGGTGGTTGTTATACAGATTATTATTTAGCTCAAATTGATTTGCTCTCAATTCAAATAGACTCTTAAAATGTCAAAAACTTCATTGGGAATTTTCATTTCCACAGTGAACTGTTACCAACTGCATTATGTTCTGTTGGAATGTCAGGGGATGACAAAGACTAGAGTTAATCCTAGTTATGCAACATAAGAAAGGGATTTGGGGAAATGTTATCCCAGCAGTGTCCTTCTACAGTTAACATGTGGCCTTTATTCTTCTGTAGGAAGAAGAGTGTAACTGCTTAGTGTTGTCACAGTCTTCAGAGCACTTCTTGTGATGCAGGTAGAGCCTTGGTTAGCAGAGAAAGGAGAACAAACTTAACATTTATTTTCTTTATAATTTTATTTCCTATTGGCAAGTGTGATATTGTTCCATGGGAAGTGTGGCAAGCAAAGAGGCTGCAGCTTTTTCTGAAATTTCCCAATATAAAGAGTGCATGGCAATGTGGATTTGTCTGCATCAGGAACATCACAGTCATTTCATACTTAAAATATGTGGCCATAATAATCAAAATTGCATTCCTGTAGCTTAGTAATGTGAGTAATTAACTGATCTTTCCCAGGCCATCTTTGCAATTCCAGGGAGTTTGTGTATGATTTTTTGTGCTAATTGCAAGGTGCTCAGCAGTTGGGAGGGTTTAGGTGTCTAACTTCATCCAGCAAGGCGTCTTCCCTTGGATATACTGGTTGGATGTTTTCATATGCCAGGAAACTACTGTTTTGAAGATCTGCAAGTTTTAGGAAAACACAATTGTCCAATTTGGAAAATACAATATTGGGAGAGACAGAAGCAACAGGTAGTGCAGTCTCTGGAAGTAAAAAGCATTAGACATGATGGAATTATATGTGAAATGTATATGGGATAAATGTATCTGTAAGAGGAAAAAAAAATATTATGGAGTATTTGATGCTCAAGAAATTATTTGCTTCTTCATAATGTTAAAAATATTTCGTTAATAGTTCTGTGGCAGACAGTACTCACAAGTCTTTGGCATCCAAACCAGATTGTATATCAGATGGATCCCACAACTGGATGTGTGCACTGACCTCTTTATTTGTAGCTTTTAAAAAAGAAATCTGGCAGCAGCCTTTTAATAATTGCATGAAGCAATCTGAGAGGAAGAAGCAATCCTGTTCCCATCACAGCTGCTGCACAGCTCAATTGGTGCCGTTCATCTGCAGCCTCTGTAAGTGAAGCTGATCAATATGGGCAAAACAAATCACTTGGAGAGTTTCCCCTAATTGTAAGGAGTTCCCATTCCCCCTTTAGCCTCTGCTTGCTGTGTAAGCAGCTTCCATGCTCAAAGGATCTTTCCTTCAAGTCAGCTTAGCAGCTGTTCTGTAGCTTGGCTATTTTTCCATATTTTCTCTAACTGGTAGCGTCGTGTTGAGCTCTTCCCCTCCTTGTATTTGTTGCTATGGGGAGGAAGAGGTGAAGCAGGATGTGTGAGAGGAGGGAGGAAGAATTGTGGGATCTATATGACAGCTCCCACTTATTTGAAATCATCTACTTCCAGTTGTGGGATTTCTCGATATATGATTTTTTTTTGTGGTTTTTGTAAGTCTAATTTTCTTTGATCTTGTTAGTTCCTTACAAGTCTCCCCGAGACATTCTGCAGTCATTATCACCTTTTTGGGTGGAGTTTATTTTATTTTTTTGGGTTGTTTGTTTTGTTTGGTTTTTTAAATAACTTTTTAACATTGGTGCATATATGCTTGGGATAGAGCTCATGTAATTATCCAATCGTATTGATTGTATGTGATTGTGCCCTGCAGAGGTATATTTAACAAAAAATAAAATAAAGGATAGTCTAGGTAATAAAGGAGACCATGAAATTTGTTGAGTCAGGTTATGAACTATTTCTTAAATTTATATAGGATACAAGATAAGTGAAATTCCATCTGCTGTTCTCATGAATCAGTGCTAAACAAAATATCATTCATTCTCTCCTTGTGTTTTTCCTTGCTTCTCCTTCTGCTGTTTTCTTCCTTTCCTGTTTCTCTTTCCCATAAACAAAAAATCTCAATCCATCCTGGGAGTGGCTGACTCTGGGTTGATAATGTGGATATTTATTGTTTGTAACTATCAAAACATTCACAGTAGGAGTAGAGATGAAGTAGAATGTATGAGAAGAATTCCATAAATTGAATTCTTTGCAAGTTCAGAGGAATTATGAAGTTTTGTACATGCAGGCCTGGCCATGGGGGAGGTGTTCAGAGGTACATGGGGAATTGCTGTGTCTTTTCCAGGAAAGGTTAGATGCTTTGCTACCTCTTGGGAAAAGTGAGATAACAAAAGGAGTGGAAGAAAATTCTCTATATCCAACTCCCTGTGTCTTTACTCCTACAATATACTTTTTAGTCTTGAAAGAAAAACATTCTAGGTACTCTGCTGAATTAGGACAGAATGTATTGAAGGAGGCAAAAGATCCAGAGATTTGAAAATCAGTATTGGTCTTCTTTATTTAATTCTCAAACCTATAGAGCTAACGGTGTCAATTTGTGTGAAAGAACAAGGGAGTGGAGACCTACTGTACATGCACAGCAGTTACATAGAAAAAAACATATTGAAATGCTAGTCCTTCTTGCTTTTTCACCTTGCTTTTCTCCCTCTTTCTCCCTGACTCCACCTTGCTCTCACAGAATGTCTAAGGGTCCTTTGAGCTGCAGATTGAACAAAAAAAAGTGGAAAAGTGATTCACTATGTGGTTTGTAAATAGATGGAAGTGTCTATAAGGTCTTACCTGTTTTTCTGTCAGCATTTATATTAAGTGATAAATTAATGAAGAACACTTTGAAGTATCTCTTGTTTTCTGTCTGCGATGACTGTACATTCTTCCAAATTTTATGTGAGATGTAAGTCTGTTGGACCATCTGAGTAAGATTTTCACCAGCTCAAGGTGTGTGTTCTGTGCTGGGCTGGAGCATAAGAGATGCCAAATAGCAGAGAAGCCACATGTCTCCTGGGTTTGGTGTGATGTCTTCTAACTTCACCTGCAGACAAAATAGGTCCTTCACCTGTTCACCAGAGGTGAACAAGAAAAGATACTCAAAATAATCAGGTTTTTTTAATTGCTCAGAGTGTACATATTTTAAAAGCAAACTAGACCCTTCAGAGCAAGCATTTGTCTAATGTTGAGCCTGATTTGGAACTTGCCTTAAAGTGAAAGTAAGTTTTGCTCCACAGTCTGCTTTGTGGTTTTTAGTCTTCTCCTTTCACACCTTTTTGTGGTCTTTAACAAGTCATTGTCTATAAATCTGAAACTGGATGAAGCTGCTGCTTCACTGAAGAACTGTTCCTGCTACTCCAGGGCAAGCAGAGCCTTCTCCAAGTTCTGTGCTCATTACTATTGTCCTCATTATTCTTGAGCCATGGATCATGGTAAGGTGTGTTTTGCTGGGCTGAAGCCCATCACTGCTCATTATTAGGCCTCCTGCCCCTGGAGTTTGTGCTCATTACTATTGTCCTCATTATTCTTGAGCCTGGGCACCATGGATCATGGTAAGGTGTGTTTTGCTGGGCTGAAGCCCATCACTGCTCATTATTAGGCCTCCTCACACCTGCACACTTACTTGCTAGATGAGTTAAAGCATTCAGTTCCTATAAAGAAATTGTATTTAGTGGGAAATCCAGCAGAAGACTATGTTTCAGTTGGTGATGGTTTCCTTACCCTTTCTCCCACTAGTCTGAGGATTCAGGGTTCTCAAGTAGTGACTCACTTCAGAAGGAAAAAAAAAAAAAAGAGCTGGATTCCAGTAATGGCTGGCTTTTAAATGGAAGATCTGAAGCATAAGAGTCAGATCCCTCTGGAAGGAAGTGGTGGATGCTCTGCATCAAGAGAGATTGGAGGAAACTTGCTGAGTTTCTTTATGTGGAAAAGAGAGGAGACCAGGCTCAAGTGGATGGTACCTGCTGGAATTTTTTCCCATTTGGATATGGAAAGCAGGATAGAAAGAATCTTGAAAAGGCTGGCTCATGAGATCCCTTGAGCCCATCTTGCTCTGTGAGTGCAAGAGTCATTTTCCCTGTGCCTATCCATGAAACTCAACAGTGAACACCCAAAGCAGAAAACAAAAGGTAATTTATGTTTCTCCTCGCCAATCTGGTATGTTTAAGGACTGGTTCTTTCCAGCTAGGATGTGTTCAATTGTTTCTGTAACATTCTTTCTAACTGTGAACTCCAAGTCCTTCAGGACTAAAAATGTGGGAGAGACTAAAACCAAAGCATGGTGCTTCATCTATCTTGCCACAGGCTGCCAGGCTTTGGTGCTTGATGGTTTTGAGCCTCTGATCTTTGCTTTGGGTCTGGGAGCAGCAGCTTTGGGAGACAAACAGCCCCTATATTAGAGCAAAGAAGGCATCTAAAAGTTTGGATTAAGACAGTGGCCATCTTGGCTGCTTCCTGGATAGCTCTGCTGGGTTGTTGCTTGGAGCTAAACCAACCATAAATGATCATTTACATGCTGCATTCAAAAGATAGATTTAGTCAGCTGCCCTAGAATAAGTGCCTTGGGAGCTCTGTGGGGTGTGCATGGTTGTTTGCTTTTGGTTTTACTGCTTTGAACTGCCTTTGAGCACTGGGTAAATGGAAACCTGTGCTTGGATGTCTGCATGGGTATGGAGCATCCCTAATCTGAAAACCCTGGGATTTGTGAGCATATCAGTTACCTCAAAAATTAAACCAGCAGCCGCCTGAAGTAACAAGGTACAATATGCGAGTCCTTCCTGTCTCATGGAGGACATTTTTCACAGTACCCTTAAATTTATCTCCACAATCTCTGTCCCATTTAATTGTCCCATACTGATACAGTAAAGTCTTTTACTTAACTCAAACCAGTTTGCAATTGCATTTTCCATTAAAGGAAAATGTTCCTCTCACTGGAGGCTCAGCACCTGATGAGCCAACCTGCTCCTGGGATTTGAAATTCAGAGGGCAATGGTGCAGGATTTGTAGAGCAGCTGCATCCTGGGTCAGAGATGGTGTTTAGTCCTCTGCCTTGTGAATCTGGACAGGAGTTGGGGGAGCTGCTGTTAATCCTCAGCTTTCCAGCTGTGCAAGGGAAAGGTCACGGAATCACAGAATATCCTGGACTGGAAGGCACCCACCAGGATCACAGGGTCCAACTCCTGGCCCTGCACAGACACTCCAGCAATCTCACCCTGTGCCTGAAAGTGTTGTCCCAGTGCTCCTGGAGCTCTGGCAGCCTTGGGGCTGTGCCCATTCCCTGGGGAGCCTGTTCCAGGTGAGTGTGTTTAAAATGGGATGTATTTGAAACTGCAGAATGTGAAGTGGGGCAATTTCTCCCAACCTGTCTGTTCAGGAAATGGGGAACAGGTGATAGCCTTGGGACAGATGGGGAAAACATTTTGCTTAGCTACGAGATCCCAAAACTAGATCTGCAAATAGCTTTATATAATTTTTACTCAAACTCTTGAAGGGTTTGAGGTTTTTCTCATGGGTTAAGCAGTTCATTTTCTGTTGGTAAAAACTGAGGGCATGTGGCACTCATGTGTGGTAGGTGGTCAAACTCTCCCTTGTCAGATTGAACTTTAAAACCTTTTTCAAACTAAACATTGCCTCTTTTTTTCCTACTCTTTGCTTAACCTTCAGCAGCTGGTCATCAGCCTTTGGCCTTAGCATCCTACTCCCCTCCCACCATCCCCTGCTGCTGTCTCAGCTCTGTTTGAGCACAGAAATCCAGTGGGAAAACAGCTTTGGGCTCAAGCAAGACTGTTCCCTCAAAAATTTGCATTTACCTCCTAAAAGCAGAAGGCTGGAGGTACAAGGGGCAGGTAAGAGAAACAGATTGCACACATCTTTCATTGTTATTTAATTCCTTGAAACAGCTCCTTTTCCCTTGGTAGAAGCCTATGAGTTTTAGCTGCTGCCAGAATGGCTTTTTGCTTTATTAGAGAGAGTCCTCCACCCTAGGTGTCATGAAGGCTAAATTGTCAGGCTTGACTTAGCCTGCAGCAATCATGGTGTGGAGGGCACTTAATGAAATCAGGAAGCCCTGAGTAATTGCTGGCTGCAAAAGAACACTGCTGGCTTGCTTTGGACTCTGGTTTTGGGGTGTGAGACAGTGGGGGAGGTTTCTCAAGAGCCTAAATTAATCTCAAAATGGTTTGAGCTATTTTACATTAGCTGGGCTGTGTAGCACAGTGTGTGAGTGCTGTGGGACATTCCCACCACTACCAGTAGCCCCAGTAGGCTCAGTAGGGTGAGTGCTGGGGCTCTGTAAGCCCAGTTAATCATCCTGTCCTGCAGCCATGGAAGGGTGGGATGGAAATGGTGTGTGCTGGTGAGAGCCCATCCGTGTTGCACAGCAGCCAAGGGCTCAGGGAGTTTCTCCATGCTTCCCCAGAGCCTTCTGATTTTGAGCTGAATCAGCAACTTCTTTCTTGGCTTTCTGCACTTTTTGTTCCTTCACCCTTGTAAGAACCTTTTCTAATTTCTACATTCCCCCTTGCCAGTAATCCTTTTCAGCCAGTGCTGCTGTGGGAATATTTTTGGCATCTTTCCAGGTTGACACATGTCAGTGCTCAGAGGAAAAGGGAGCATTTAAAAGCTGTAGGGGGAGGAGGAGTGGGTTTTGGCCAAATGCTATGACAAAGAGCTGGTCTAAGAAACAGCAGGGGCTCATGCCTGTAAGAAACAAGATTGGATGTGTCAGAGGCTGGGTCAACCTTAATGGATGGTAAAGTAGATTTAGGGTGTTAGCATAAAGTTGTGTATCTTCCCTGAATTGGTGGAGTCAGGGCTTTACTGCAGAGTGAAAACAGGGAGTCTTTCTCATTTAATGAGGACAGGGTGAGGATGGAGGTGCCCTCCCCACTCTTGTGCTTTGGCCTTTAAATATGAGATTAGATTAGCAGCACTTTGTGTGATGGCAAACACCTTGAGCTGCTTCTGGCTTGACAGGCAGGGTCAGGACATGGCTTTCCCTGGAGGTGAGTGGAGTGACAGGGCAGGGACCATGGTGAGGTTGTCCTTTCCATGGTGGGACTGGCCACAAGAGTGTCCGTGCTGCTGGAGCTGCAGGACCAAGTGTGAGTGAGGGAGGGCTGCTGCAGGCAGTGCAGGGCTCTGCTCTGGCCCCAGGATTGCAGAACTCTGGAGTGTGTCTGGCTTTTGTTGCTGGCTGACTTTTCCTGTGGGATTGAAAGCTTCAGAAGAACAGCACTTCCTGGAGTATTTTCAATTGTCTTAATATTTTTCCTTTCTCTTGGCCTGGTTGTTGATTTTTTGGTTTTGATTGGTTAACTTCCCTCCCTTTTTAGATTTTTTTTTCCCTTTGTGGTGTTGCATCTGTCCTAAACCTTTTGCAAGGTGATCTCTGTGTCATTACCAGCGAGAGCGGTGGCCATGGCCTGAGAGAGTCCCTCTTGTTTTGCTGTGCTATCACACAGCCTTGGGCTCCAGACAGTCTTGGTACCAGATGAGGTAATTTCTCTTTTTGCAGAGGAACTGGAGCACAGGTGAAGTCATTGGCCAAGAGCCAAAGAGCCTGGGGAGGGGGTTGTGGAAGAACCCAGAGGTGTCCTTCATTCCAGATCAGCCTTTGAGCCTGTTCCCATTTTCCTCTGACAGGTGCTGGCCCACTAGCCCTGGAAGATCACAGACATGGAGGTCACCAGTGTTAAATGCAGGTGACTTCTAATTTAGTTTCTCAGAAGTGCTTGGTAGCCATGGATGGCAGTGAGTATGTGAAGGCAGGCAGAGACTTACCTAACTTAGACACATGTTTGAAAAAGTGCCCTGTAGCAGGCAAGACCTGGGCAGGCTGCCAGCCCCTCCCAGTAGTTGTTTCCCAAACTGTTGTGGCTGTGGTGCTTGAGCTTCCTCCCACGGGGTACATAAACAAAGCAGTCATGCAAAGGGCATCAGAACCAGTGTGCAGGCCCTGGGGTGGCTCATGAGGCCTTGCTGCCAGAGCTGGTGGATGATGGGGTTTAGGAGGAAATTGTTCCCTGTGAGAGTGGGCGGGCCCTGGCACAGGGTGCCCAGAGAAGCTGTGGCTGCCCCATCCCTGGCAGTGTCCAAGGCCAGGTAAAACAGGGCTTGGAACAACCTGGGATAATGAAGGTGTCCCTTCCTGTGGGAAGGGGTGCAACCAGATGATATTTAAGGTTCTTTTTAACTGAAACCATTCTGAGGTTCAGTGTGCTTTAGCAAAGGGGGAAATACAAATTATCTTTTGTTGGAAGATTTTTAGAGAACTGCCTTTGCTGGAACACATTGATTACCACTGGCCTGCACTCTTTAGGTACCAAGGACAACCAGTTTGCATTGAGGTGGTATGAACTTTGAACAGGAATTGGTGTGATGCATCAGCTACACCATACATGCTTATAAAGTACATTTTTTGGGAATTAGAGATGCTTAGTCCACAGAGGGACCAACTTCCTTGGAGCTGGGCCAACTTATCATCTTTCTTCTCTGCCATGGTGTCTCCTACATCAGTAGCTGAAAAGTACTGTAAGGCTGAGGTGAGCCAGGCAGGGTCCTTACACTGTAGCCACCTCACTGGCCAGTGGGGAGGACTCAAAAGTTCAAATCATCCATTTTGGTACAAACTTGAAGCAGTTGAGCCTGCTGCTTAAAAAAGAGGGGCCCCAGGTCACTGAGAAAACACTGGTTTCAGTGTACTGCTTCTAACAGCATTGTGTGCTCACAGGCAAGCTTGTCCTTTCCTCCTGCTTGTCCTTGTTTGTCCTGCAGATGCAGAGCAAAATGATGACAGGAGGGGACTGTGGGGCTGTCACCACTGTGGTGCTGGCTGGAAGGGGCCGGGGGCCGTGGCAGCAGCCAGGTTTCCCAGACAGGCCGTGTGTCTGAGCTCTCTCTCTGGTTCCAGGACCATGCATCTGTTCCTGCTGTGCCTGCTCAGTGTCTGGGGGCTGGCTGCCCCGGAGCACTACGCCGTGGAAGACATCTGCACCGCCAAGCCCCGCGACATCCGCGTGAACCCCATCTGCATCTACCGCAACCCGGAGAAGAAGCCCCAGGAGGGGGAGGGACAAGAGCCAGCAAAGGACAAGCTCCCGGAGTCCACCAACCCCCGCGTCTGGGAGCTGTCAAAAGCCAACTCTCGGTTTGCTGTCGTCTTCTACAAGTACCTGGCTGACTCCAAGGACAATGGGGAAAATATCTTCATGTCACCCCTCAGCATTTCCACAGCCTTCGCCATGACCAAGCTTGGAGCCTGTGGCAGCACCCTCCAGCAGCTCATGGAGGTTGGTGGAGATTCCTCAGCCTTTTCCCATAGCAGGTCTGAAAGACAGGAAAGGTGATCATGGCTAATGGCTGCTCTCAGGGTCTCAGGATTTCTCTTGGGGAGGAAATCCCAAGTTGGAAGGACCTTAAAATTCATCTTGTTCCACTCTGCCGTGGGCGGGGACACCTTCCACTAGACCAGGTTGCTCCAAGCCCTGTATTTGGATTTGTTTAGATCCCAGCTCTTTCCCCTTACTCTCTATTTGGATCCAGCATTCCTGGGTTTGAGAGGTTAGTTTTTATCTGGAGGAAAGGAAGCCCATTTGGAAGGTGAGGGAAGGGAATGGCAACAGTTTGCTTCTTGCAGATTCAGCTAAGCTTTTCCTTATGTAAAAAGTAGGAAAAGCCATGGTATCAATTCCTGCTGGCAGAGGAACTTTTTCACATTCCTTCTCTCTTCCTTGGGACAAAAATCAGACACATGGGAGACCTTGCAGTCCACCTGACTTCCAGGGCAGGGAAGCCTGTATATGGGGAGCCTCTCCCTCTACCTGTATACTCAGGGGATAGTTCTCATCCCAGACTAAGAGGTAATTCTGAGTTCTGGCTCTTCCATGCAGCTAATTTAACTCCCTGCCTGTCCTAGCACCCTTCTCAATGTCAGACCCACTCACCTGCCATGTGGGGTTTGATGCTGCCCATACCTTTTTCTGCAATGGGAGACCTCAGCCCAGAGCAGCCTTTCTCCCTGCAATGAGGAGGTGTGGATCAAAGCCCTCTCTTGCTGTCCTTACAAATCCTACCTCTGGAACAAATAATGTTGCTGGTCTCCTGTCATTATCCACACAGCCTGAGTGGAGCAGCTATAACCACATCTCCAAAATCTTCACTTGTGTGCTCCCCTCTGGGCAGCCCTTCCCACTGGAAGGGGAACCTTCTCCATTGAGCCACCCACACCTGCACTCCTAACCCCCCTTTTCCCTATGAAACAGCTGGGAACACCAGGAATACCTTACAAGAAACAGTGCCAAAGGAGGTTCATAAAGAGCAATGTGCTGTGGGATTTTCTGTGCCTTAAAGCCCTGAGGTTGGATAGCAGTAGACAAATCATAATTGTCCTTCCAGCTGGCAGCTGGGAACAGATTAAAAAATTCCCTGTGCTGCAAAAATCTACCCTCAAAATGATGACTACATATTCCCATTCCCTGTAAAAATAGATAAGATGTGCCAGAAGTACTCAACAGGCCATGAGAATTCCTCCTGGGAAAGAGCAGCCTTTAGCATTTTCATAGGAGGGTTTAGCACATGTGAGTCCTCCCATGACCTGATATGACCCAAGAGCTGCTTCTAGGCCCTGTGGGTGCAGTGCTCATCTCTGGGGTGTGGTAAGGGGTTATGAACACCATGTTCATTTTAACAGCACTTAAAGGTCTTGGGCTGGCAATGTGTTGATTTTCCATAGATTTGGGTTCCCACACATGGAGGGTGAAGCTCTGAGGGCCTGCAGATTTGTTGCTGTTGAGGCAAAGGCTGCACCACCATTTCCTCTGGGGCCCAGGAGCACAAGAGCCTTCTCATGGATTCCCTTTGCTGTTTGGCTTGTCCAGGTCTTTCGATTTGACACCATTTCAGAGAAGACATCAGATCAGATCCATTTCTTCTTTGCCAAGCTGAACTGCCGCCTTTACAAGAAAGCAAACAAATCCTCAGAGCTGGTATCAGCCAACCGTCTCTTCGGGGAGAAATCTTTGGTCTTTAATGAGACTTACCAGAACATCAGTGAGATCGTTTATGGAGCAAAACTCTGGCCCTTGAACTTCAAAGTGAGTTTGACCTGCTCAGGATTTTGCTTTTTTTGTTTGGTTCCACCCCCTCATCCCCAATCCATCCCTGTGTTTTGCTCAGAAGTGCTCTGCTCTGGGTGTGTGAGACACCAGTGAAAGCAACAGGGAATCTGGGATGCAGCTTCTCTTACTTCAGCTCACCTTAACCACAGCCATGTCCCCACTCGTCATACCTAAGCTGCTTGTCCTCCCCCAGCACATACCCTTGTGAGCCTGTCTCCTGCAGAAAGGGTACAAAGAGGGGTTTAAAACCCTTGGCTTAACCTTTTGTTGGTCTCTTCCTTTAGGAGAAGCCAGAACTTTCCAGGCAGATCATAAATGAGTGGGTGGCTAACAAGACAGAGAAGCGCATTACAGAAGTGATCCCAGAAAATGGCATTGATGATCTCACTGTCTTGGTCCTGGTCAACACCATTTATTTTAAGGTAACAAAAGCTAACAGAACTAGGGAGCAGCACACTTCCCTGGAGGAGACATGGTGCTCATGTTTGTTTTCCCTGTCTCCTTTTTAGGGGCACTGGAAATCACAGTTCCCAGCTCCAAACACAAAACTGGATGTATTTCATAAAGCCAACAGTCAGACCTGCCAAGTCCCAACTATGTACCAGGAGTCCAAATTCCACTACGCATTCATCCCCCAGGACAAAGTCCAGGTGCTGGAGCTGCCTTACAAAGGGGACGATATCACGATGCTGCTGGTCCTGCCCAGTGCTGGGACACCCCTGGAGGAGGTGGAGCGAAACCTGACATCGGAGAAGCTGCAGGGCTGGATAGATTCCATGAAGGAGATGTCTCTCTTCGTCTACCTCCCTCGCTTCCGCGTCGAGGACAGCTTCAGTGTCAAGGAAAAGCTGAGGAAAATGGGGCTGGAAGATCTCTTCAGTCCAGAAAATGCCAGACTCCCAGGTGAGATGTGCAGGGTAGAGGTGAGGGGCAGCCATTCCTCCCTAGGCAGGGCAGTAGGTGCAGCAGCACATGAGGAACAAGCACAAGAAAGCATTGATGTGTTGCAGGGAGTTAATCCAGTGATGGATTCTCTGATGAAGTCCCACCATGGACACTCAGCCCTGCTCTGCATTGAAGACATGGCAGTTTAGCAGTCAGTTGGACATGAAAGAGGATGTTTTTGTTGTAGAGCAGCCATGCCTTCTGCCTGATCCCAGGATGGGAATGTGTTCTTTCTTGAGCTGTCTCTAAACTCAGTTTCACCTTTGTATATTTTTGTATTTCAGGTATCATTGCAGAGGGCCGCACAGACCTGTACGTGTCTGAAGCTTTCCACAAAGCCTTCCTTGAGGTGAGCCTTGTTTTGCTTTTAAAAACAATATTAAATGAAAAAAATAGTTCTGAACCTACAGTGTTCACTTCTCAGCAGTCTGGGGCTTTGGAGGGAGGCTGCTCTGTGTTCTGTGGAGGTGAAGGAGGGTGAGCCCTCTGCATGCTGCATATTGCCTCTATTTTAATCCCATCTTGTCTCTTGGCTGGCAGGTGAATGAAGAAGGCAGCGAGGCCTCAGCTGCTACAGCAGTCACCATCTCTGGCCGTTCCTTCCCTATGAACAGAAAAATCTTCAATGCCAACAGGCCCTTCCTGCTTTTCATCCGGGAAGCTGCCCTCAACTCCATCATCTTCATGGGCAGGATAGCTGATCCCTGCTCCTAAAGGGGCTGGTAGGGCCTCACTTCTCCCTCCTCTGCCTCGGGAAAAGGGGAGGTGGGGTATTGCCACAAAGTGTGGGCTGCTCCTGGGGTGGTTGGTCTTTCTGTTTGGTGCCAGCTGCAGGGAGGGACTGCATCCAGCTGGGCTGTCCCTGCTCCTCCCTGCCATGTCAGGTGAGGGGCTCACAGGTCACCTCACTGTCCTGTCCTTTGTGGCAAGGAAAGCTGAATTTCATCTGGTACCAGTATTTTGGTGGCACCCAAGTCCAGCATTGCTGTCCTTCCTGTGCCCAACCCTCTGTAACTCTGATCACTTGGTTCATTAAAACCTATAGATCTGTATGTAACAGACTGCTCTCTGAATGCACAGCTTACACTGAGCCACTTCCTAGACTTATTTAAATTCTTCTTTTCCAACAAATGGGGCTCCACACCAGAAAGGTGAGTGGGGCAGCAGCAGCCATGAAACTTGTGCTGGCTGGGCAAGGAACAGCCTTCTGCAGCTCCGTGTGGGTGGAAGAGCTGCCAAAAGCTGTGCCCTGCTTGCCAGCAGCTCTGGGGTGTCCTGTGTGCCCAAGAGCTGAGAGTCACTAGTGGCAGCCTTGAACAGCCGAGGCTTTGAAATTCTTTTTGATTGCTAAGACTTCATCTAACAGTTACTGTAGCAGCAGTGCCCATGAACCACGACAGTGCCCAGGTAAGGAAACCAGTACCTGCAGCTTTAATAAAAATAATTTATTTCACCTGCAAGTTTACTCCAGGAGCTGAGGTCTCCTGGCCTGCTGCCAGTGAAATAGCCACCTCTGTAAAGGCTTCTCTTGGCAGGAACTGCTAGAGCAGCCAAGCAGTGAGGGAGTTAACTTGGATAGAGTGGTGTGCCAGATCTTTGGTCACTGGGTCTCTAGATTTGGAAGCTATCAGGTGTTTGACTCTTTCCTGTTCCCAGTAGGATTGTTTGAGCATCTGTGCAAGCAGTGTGTGACTGGGACATGGAGAGCCACCTCCTCCATTGTCCCATGGGCCATGGCAAACTGTACACATGTGAGAGGTGTCCTTCAGGGGCTCCTACAGGTACTCCCTGGGGCAGTACCTTGAAAGAAACTGTGATGGGCTGGAACCCTGGGAGAAAAGGGGAAGCATTTTGAAAATAACCAAGAGTTCAAAAAGCAGCTCTTCCTCTCCGTGCCCTCCTCTGGCAGCTACCACTGTGGCTTTTCTTGCTGGATCCCATCTTCTGCCTGTGAACATCACAGAGAGACACACAACCTCCTGTAATCACTCCTTTTCCAGCTCTGCTCCAGGCTGTGGAGGTGAACACTGGTGAAAGAGGAGGGCTGAGGCACTGCCTGGGCCTCCCTAGCATGGCTCTGAACCAAAATGCTTCCCCTGCCATAGGCAGCTGGGAAAACATCCAAAGCTTGGCCTGCAGCAAGAGCACAGGGCTTGTTCCTCCTGGGGAGGCTGAAAAGGGCTGAGCCTGCTGAAAAGGTGAGACAAAACTCACCCAAAAAGGACAGAAGCCATCTGAGTTGCCAGGAACAGCAGCCTGGCACTGTGCAACCTCTCTCAAGCTGCTCAGCTTAGGAGAGTGTGGAGCTGCCCACAGCCAGGACCAGGCAGAAAATCCACATTGGGGAAGGACCAGTCAGCCATAAGACACAGACAAGGATCTGAGTATTAAACCATTTAATTCTCAAACCACTCACATGCATAATGTTCTTTTACACAGTGTTAAAAGAAAGAAGAAAATGCATTTTTTTAATACAAACAGAATTTCAAGTATACATTTATAGAATTTTCCAAGATTCTTACCCAAGTTGCTAAGTTCTCATTCACATTGTTCTTAAAGCTGTCCAACAAGAGCGCTTTTTGCTAAACTGCTTTCAATGCAATTGTACAGTCCCCTCTACCTTGGTTTTATTTCCCCCTTTCCCAACTCTGGTTCCCCTGCCATCCCTGCCCACCCCCTCCAGCAGTGCTGGCTGTCCCTGGACACAGTGGCCATGGAGCTTCTGTTTGCCAGAGCCTGCTGGAAGAGGAAGAGAAGCAGTCATGGAGGGCCAGTTTGGAAACAGCTTGGAAAATCACTGAAGAACAGTCTGATATCCACAAGTTACAGCAGGCTTACTCTTCAGCCTACTCCAGACTAGTCTGAACACTGACTTTTTTTTTCTTGAAATAAGGACTGCAACCAAAAATAAAATAAAATAATAAAAACAAAAGAATAATTAGTACAGCAGGAAATTTCTTAACTGTGAAAAGTAAGTCTTGAGTGTTAGGACACCTGTCCTAAAAAGGTTTGATTTATAGGTCACTAGTTGAAGGTGACAGCACAATTTCTGTTACAAATGGTTACTCTGCAAACCAGCTCAGAGCAGAATCAATGTGGGACACACAAACTTGGATTAAAAAAAAAAAAACAAACAAACAGAACTGATGAGGGCTCCATATTTATGTTATGGAAAAAGCCCACAACCCCAGCGACAGCTTTCTCCTGGCTTTGCTGCTCAGCTCAGCCCTGGGCTGCCAGCTGGGCTGTAACTGGGTGCAACTTCTGACCTGTTAAAAAACGGGGTTTCAATCTTCTTGACAGGCAAGGGTGGGTTTCTCTTGAAAGATTCCAAAGTCTCCTAACAGCCAGCAGCCCCAGCGGGGCCGCTCCGGGCAGCGCAGGGCCGTGACACCCGGGGGGCTGCTGGAGGTAGAGCTGCCATGGCCAGGCTGTGGCAGCATTGCTCCCCCCGAGCTGTGGCTGCCCAGGAGCTGCCTGCCTGTACAGCTGTGTCCCCAGCCAGCCACAGCTGTACTCGTCTGACGAGTTAAAGTGCATTGCGGCAGAAAAGGGTTTGCTTTTTCTTTTTTTTTTTTATTTTTTTAATTTTTTTTTTAAAGAGAAACCTATTTAAAGTGCTGTTCTAGTTTGGAAAGGGACTGTTTAGAAAAAAAATGGCACCTTTTTCACATGAGAGATTTGCTCTCTGTATGTGTATATATATATATAAATTTGCAGAGTCAGATCTGCTGACTAATGAACAACATATAAAAGTGTTTGTATTTTATCTTATTGCTTTTTTTTTTTTTAAAACTGCTGCCTGCTGCCTTGGAGGCAGGAGGGAGATGGATTCTCCTTTACCTTTGCCACCATTAACTAATTTCCCAGTGCAGGAATGTGATCTCACAGCTCCGGCCCAGGGGACAGTTCACTGTCATGCAGCACACAGGAGGTGACAAAGTCCCCCTGAACTGTCACAGCCCCATGGCCAACCTGCATAGGGTCACAGTATGGAACTGGAGGCCAAGAAGGACTGTGGACCCCAAGGGACTCCCATTGCTCCTGCCAGATGCCATTTTCATTAGAGTCACTTTACAAAACAGACTTGCATTTCTGAAACAGAGGTAAGGAAAACAAATCTCTTTAAAGTGAAAGCTTTGCTGCTAGAGTGTGTAGTGTGGTAACCTCAGCACTCCAAGAGAGAGAGGTAGTTACTGTCCTGTGAATACGCTGCTGCTTAATGAGACTCCATTTCTGGAGTGATTGCTCAAAAAAAAAAAAAGAAAAAAAAAAAGAAAAAAAAGAGGAAAAAAATCCTGTGCTCTTTATTAAGTTATCCCAGTTAAATCTTTCTGGTGAAGATATACTTGACTATTTCCTCTAAGAGGCTTTTGTATTTTAGAAATTGATTGTCAGTTAAGTTTGTTACAAGATGAAATTTGATTAGCAAATTGCTATACAAAGCCACTTCCCTTGTTAACTCTTAAAATTCTCTCTCCCACTACTCAACTATCCATGCCCTGTTTGGGGGTCATATCTTGTCTGCTCCTGCAGTAGGACAGCATTTCCTGCTCTGAGCAGTTTTAATGGAAAAAACCGAAGTTTAAAAAGAGCTACAGATATCATATTCACAGTGTTGTGCAGGAAAGGTGGGGTGACAGCAGGGAAATGAGGGGAGCTCTGGGGACAATGGGGACACAGCTCATGGGAGCTTCAGCTAGTGTTCAACACACTAAAGGCTTGGGAAAACTGCATTCATTCCCTTCCCTTTTCAGACTAAAGCAGTGCTTTGAATACCTTGCTTCCATTTCATGAATTACCATCTCATCCAGTCTTCTCATCCTTCGCTAACTCTCCCTGCAAGTGCGGGGCACGAGGTGAGGAATGTGTTACTGCAAGAACACACAGGTGCATGTTATTCTCCTCCTCATTCAGCCTCTAAAAGACCTTATTCACAAAGGTCTGGTTTGCCACCCAGGATTGCTCTTGCCTGTCCTAAATGTCAGCCATGTTACCCACCAACACAAAAGAACCATGGCTGATTTGAACAACACCACTCCTCTCTCCCTTCCCAATATTCCTTCCTGGCACTTGCCCTGTGACAGCACAGCCCTGGAAGCTGTCTGGTGTCAGCTTTCTGCCCAGGCCAGTGCCTTAGAGGGGAAGCCCAAGGAATTAGCTTTAAGTAAAGGGTATGACAAAATTCCACTCTCAATGCCACCCAGGGTGCTTCCCCCAGCAGCACAACCCTGGCTTAGGAAATCTTCTAACACAAAAGTGCCTGCATGCCACCTACACCCTGCATCTCTGGTGGAGATCCAGGCTGCTCTGTAAACAGCCCCTGCAAACAAACATGGACTGAAAGAATGCCCTGGGGCTGGGGACAGCCACGGTGGGGCTGGGGCTTCATGCTCCTTCCCAAAATCCAATCTGTCAGCCCAAGAATTGCACTGTCCACTTCTCATTAGTGTCACCCACTGCTGCCACCCTTGTCCCACCGGCCTCTTGCAGGCAAGAGCTGTGTTCAGTTACCAATGCACAGCAAGGAAGGATTCAAGGAAAGCTTCACAGTAATTCAGAGAGGTTCTTTAGACATGTAAACTCTCAGAAAACACTCTCGGAGGCACAAACCCCCATATCAAACCAATGCCCAAGACATGTAGATGAATGAGCCAGGGAAACCTCAAGAAACAGCTTTTAAAACTTGACCAAATGGGGAACCAATCAATTGGCATCATCAAGTTAAAATTTGTTTCTCTCAGACTGGTTTTGTGACTCCTCCCCCTGCCCTGGACTCGGTAACTTCTATTGGAATTCTAGCAGAAGACATCCCTGCCCATGGCAGGGGGGTTGGAATAACATGAGCTTTAAGGTCCCTTCCAACCCAAACCATTTTGTGATTTGAGTAACTAATTTAAACTGTATTTTATCTTTTTATACTGCCACTTTCTGTATTTTTTGTCCAGCAGTAAATGAATCAATCCAACTTAATTTTTCATTTCTCATTAGTTTCACAGTTTCACAGCCAATGATATTGGGTATGACTGCAAAGGTAATGGGAAAGTTTAAA